TACTACATTTTACATTTTATACAAGAAGCACAAAATTCAAAAGGGACATCTCAAAATGTCAAAATTTACGATAATTTACTGTTTATATGGAGTACTACAAAATATGACTGATACTACAGATTCTCAAATTCCTATGTTTTTAAATTTTAAGAGAATATATTTTATATCTTTTATTTTAAGCCATATTTAATGACCCCTTTTAAGGAACTTAAATAAATCATAACGCCAAAAATCCTGTTATTTCTTAATTTTGTTGATTTTCATAAACTATTTAAAAATAGTTGCTCCATGGCACCTGATCCCACCTCTGATGTTTGGAGGTCCGTGTTTGCTCTGCTCCTATTTTGTATTGTTTAATGGACTTTTGAGCTTGAATACTGTTCGTTATCTCCATATATTTCATTGCTTTAAATGAGTAAATACGCTTTATTTTACTTTGCTGCGCGAAGTATTGCACAATGAAAACCCCCTTAATCTCAAACTCTGGAAGGTCTGCACTAATTAAATGTTCGTTACCTTGAAAGCTATCAAATCAGGAATTTAGAGTAAGTTTGAACTAATGCAGTCTTCTCTGGTTAAACTATTAAATCATAATCTTAAATGCATTCATATTTCATTATTTCAGTTTGCATCTTCCCTATCCAAGGTTGGCAATCCACCATTTTCCTACCTTCACCCTTGGAAAATCGAGCCGATATTTTTTCGACCAGCGTTATTCCAACACACAGTCACGGTTGCTCAATCGGTTGAGCGCTCGTTCTGTGATCGGAAAGTCGTGGGTTCAAGTCCCTGTCGCGACAGACTAAGGTCGAAGCAAATCTTCCTTTGCTAAGCACTAGGCACTTTGAAATGGAAGATGCAGGTCTCTCGGATGAGACCTTAAATCTGAGACCCCGTGTCACGATAGCCATTGGCACGATAAAAATCCTTCACTGCTCAATCGATCTGAGTGCCGAGTAAATGTCTAAATTTAAAGCCCTTCACCTATATACGATGGCGTCACTAAATGAGTGAAAAATTCTCAAACGGGACGTAAAACAACATACAATTAATCAATTAATCCAGACATTGTTAGCCGATACTATTAAAATCAAGTATTACATTTAAGTTTTACTTTCAATAGAAATATGCGTGAAATACTAAGATAAAAAACAGTAATCAAGCTCAAAAGACCATTGAAACAGTACAAATTTGGAACAGAGCATGGGCTTTAAATACATTAGAGCTGGTTTCAGGTGCCATGAAGAATTATGCGTCCCCTAGCTATCGGTCACACCAGCCATTTACTCCTAGGCATGCCTTCTTATATAATTGCTCTTTTGGCCTAAGAAGGATCAAGTATAAAGAAAGTCCAGATGGCTAGACGTACAAATATCGCCTCAATATACCAAAGGTGAAAAAGAGGAGGAGTGAGTCGTCATTCTTGGCTAGCGAAGATAATTTGCTCGAAGGGCTAAGAAGCATAGTCGTTATATTCTTTCCACTGCAGTTTGTGCTGCTCATAACATAATCACTAATAACTATGTTGCAACAATCATTTTTTCTGGCAAGACCTATGTATTTTCTGTTGCTGCACCTAGTTCCTCTTGACATGTTTGGACTGCATTTTGAGCATCTTCAAGATAATTTGTATTCACTCTGAATGGATCAGTATGTTCATCAATGTACACGTCTGTACCCTATACTCCTGTAAGCTTTTGTAGATGAATTGTAGAAGTGGGACATGATCTATCTACATAGTTAGACATAGCAACAATGAATTGGAGTTATAGTGTTTAGATCGCCAACCAATATGACTTCCTGTTTTCTCATTTATGATGCACCCTATTCTTCAAATTTCCGGAAAACACACCACAGTCACACAAATCATGAAATAAGAGTTATAAGGTGGTAAATATATACAACCAATAAAAACCATCTTGTAAGTTACTCACAAGATGTCAATTAACACTTCATTGCATGGTACTTTTTTTTTCTGAAAGGTTATGTGTCCTTGGATTTTTTTTTGTGTAGTGAAAAAAAGTGAAGATGACGAACAATGATCGATCTCAAAAAATCTACAAACAATACAAATCTGTGAACAGGACATAAAACACGGACCCTCGGAAATTCTAGTGGTGGGATCAGTAGCCTGGGAGGAGTAAGCATCCCCTGTTGACCGGTAACACCCGCCGTCAAAATTGCAGTATAAGAATTGGAGTACACACCCTTGTGTGCTTCGGCTTTTAAGCCTTGGAAAATAGTTGAGACGAAGTCAGCAAACTGTCTGTCATTCTGTATATGCGGTTACATCATATAATTATTTAATTTTTTGAAAACTCAGTACATTATTTAGAAGAAATTCCACCATTTGCATTCCAATATGTGCAAAAAGGATTCATTTTTGTGTTTTATTCTCCAAAATTTCCTAGAAGTCACCAACTTCATCTTTGGAATCAGGTGAGTGCTATACGCAATCTTTATTTAAGTCGTCCTTAATCAAGTATGTTTTCCATCTCATCCTTCTAGCTTCTTTTACGACAGTAAATGATTTTCCCCTTCTTCTTTTATTTTCTTGGGGTATTGCTCTTGGGTACCGAAACTTCTTCCATCCTGTTTTCTTTCGGTTTTGTGTACGTTTTCTCTTACGTTGAAAGAGCTGAATTTCAAAACTATTAAACAGGGTGAATCATCATTTCGCTTTTGGATCCTATTTGCCCTTTCAATATCTTTAAAAATATCAATACCAGGGAATCTGGAGATAAGCATAGAATGCTTCGTATATTTCAATTCTATTACACAGCATTTTGGATGAAATATGGAGATAATGAACAGCTTTCAAGCTTAAAGTCCATATTAAAACAATACAAATCAGAAGCAGAGCAAACACGGACCTCCAAAAACAGAGTTGGGGTCAGGTGCCATGGAGTGAGTATCCCCTGCCGACCGGTCACAGCAGCCGTTTGCTCCTTGTCATGATCGGTAAAAAACGTAAAAATCAATCGACAATTCAGTGTGTAAATAATGGCCTAACAATTAGTATGAAAAACGTCAATCAGCATATGACTTAATGGTAGATTGTATTTGCTGATAAGGTCATTGTATCGACTATAGAACGTACGAAATGATGACTTTAAACGAGATTTATCTTTACATTCATTTTATTTCAGATTTAAATGTAAATATAAGGAATCACTGTCTAGATTGTTGGATATGACAGGGAAATCAAACGAAAGTTGAAAACGTGGAATAATTTATGCTTCACCCGTTATGCAAATGAACTCACGTTTCCAACTGTCGTTAATGTCCTGGCATACCCAACAAACTAGACTATGATTTCTTAACAATGGACTCCTCCTGCTTTAAGCCGACAATTTCTAACTTAAATACCCGGTGTTTTTTTCCCAAAATTATTGGCTGAGTTTCTTCCAAACATCGTTCCTTGATAATGGGTTTACAATGGCGCCTTTGTTTGGGCTCGTGTAAGGCTTATACCTTACAATTTCATGAGTTTGCTATTTGTCCGCTTTTGTTTTTACCCCCTGAGCACCATATATCTAAATTTACGAATGCACAAAAAAATCTGAAGCGTTCTGGTTTCTGGCCCCAAACCTCATATATTCCGTTCCTCATCGAAGAAAAACCACAACCATTTACCCATTGCACCATCTTTTGTGACCTTAAATCAGTCCAAACCGGCCTTAAGTAGAATGCTTTCGTAGTAGTAGTTATTTCTAAAAATAATGTCATAGTTTTCATATTCAACTCTATTCAATTGATGTGAATTTTTACTTTGTTTGATTATTATTTGCATGTCACTAACCATTATAAAGAAAAGTCAAGGAAAACCACAGAGATTCTTCTACAGTCTCTATTTCTACCAGATGAGCATCTCTGGACTCGCACCTTAACTAAAATCAAATAAATTTTGTTTAATGTCAGTTTCGCAATAGCTTTGTAGACATATAGACATTAAAAAGGAATTGAATATCTTCAACTCATATTCTCCAAAATTTCTAAAGAGTATAAAACGGAAAACTTATTTAAGAAATAAGGTATCATTTTTTGAGTTTTATTGGGATGTAAAACGGGTTGGCACTTGATCAAATCTTCCATAAAGCCCTTCGGGTTGGTCACGTGATCAAATCCCATAAAGCCCGAAGGGCTTTATGGAAGATTTGATCAAGTGCCAACCCGTTTTACATCCCAATAAAACTCAAAAAATGATACCTTATTACTTATATTTACACTTGTTGCGAATGGATGCCTACAACGCTTTTCCATACATTCCTCTGATTTGACCTAGATAAGCGCTTCAGTTAAAATGACGTAACAAAAAGTAGTTCCTTATATTTCAACTATTTAATTAACACTGATTAAAAATAAACAGTAGTTTAAGTTAAATGAACATTGTATTTTCTACAAAAGTAAAACTACAAGAGAATTACTATGTATTTTGAAAAAATCGGAAAAAACTTTGCGGAATGTCACTACTTCCGTTGAAGTAAAGAGGTCCCAAGGCGTCTATTTGAATTTAAAAACACAGTGATTGAAAACAGACTTTGAGAGGAAATCAGACGACATGGAGGTGCTGACGGAAGAACTAGCATCAAAAGCAGTATGATTTTCCTTTGGAATTTCAGAGAAATGCTTTTCTTATTCACGAGGAGAAACGGAGGAAGAAGCTAATGGAGTGAACGTCGTGGATGCACTGCATGAAAGGTTGGTGTTGCTGTGATTGCCATTTTGATCAGGATTTGTGAGCAGAGACAGGCATGAACTTACGGATCGTTTTTGCTCATTTGACAAATTTCGATTGTAGGTTCTGTCGTGACTCGAATCCATGATCACTCATTGCAGTAATAGCCGTGACTCTCAAGCAGTGAGGGGTGTAAGACTTCAGACATTTAGATGACTTGCAAATATCGGACATATAGCCACTGAATGATCTCTTTGCCAAAGGTTTGGAAGTGTACCAGAGGTCAGATCCATAGTTCAATAGGGCATCCTTGAAACATGTATTAAATAGACTTGTAGCACTGGGATCTGTCTTGCTCATTAACAAGCGCAACAGGTTTCACTTCTAGGAACCTCGTATATACGCTTTCCAGAAGGAGCTTCATCAGATGCAATACCTCCTTGGAAGTTTTCTGTTGTGTTTCGTGACGAAGAGTTATGTATTCTAAGTTGTTCTCATCTTTGTGAAATTGAAAAGAATCCATTAGTAATTGATGATGAAACTCTAAACCCCTTGTAACTAAATGAATAGACAAATTGTACCAAACACACTGGCGAAGGACAATTGGAGAATGCGGAGCAGAAAGAAAATATGTAGAGATGCGCTGAAGGTCTTCAGGATGAATGACTGTTTTATGGTTGGTGGTCCTTGATGCACCAGTTTTTGTCAGGGATTTGAGCATTCCATCTAAAGTATGATTCGCTGTTTTAAATTCCTTATCTCGAACAATATCGATGGATCTACCCAAATCCTGAAGGTGCCTATTGATTGCAGCGCGAAGATTCTTTAAACTATTTTTGTGATAATTTTCAGCTTGTGCAACTGTTAACTCTGCCGTCCTTTCTGAAGTTGATTTGGGTTTGGCTTCGCAATAAAATTTCCTCAGTTTTTCAGCAAGGATCTCAGAAGTGACAGTTTTGAAATCAAGAACATCAGAAAAGACCTCCAAGTGCCAATCTATAAATTGTAAAGGGGATTTATTTAAATCATTGATTTTGATTGCATTAATCATGTTAATTTTTATTTATTTTATAGTTAAATTTTTGTTTGTAGTTTTTCTGTTTACTGGTTTGCATGTTTAGTTGTTTTTTTTTTTATGTTGATTTAAAAATTATAATTTATTTTTGTAAGTTAACTGCATTTCTGTTTTGTTTTGTTTGTTTGTTTGAAATACAGTGAATTCTTTAATTAGAATCACCTGCTGAAACTGCAGAAAAAATACGGTATGCCTTTGTGCTGGTGAATGTATTGTTATACTGTAAATATACTTGTAGAACATACCTTTGCCTTATTTACAAGGATATATTGATATCGGCATTGTTTGAATTTTGATTGGTTTAATTTGTTTATGATTTATTTTCCTTGTTTGTAGTTTTTTTTTAGAGGTACTTATAACATATGTACCTTGAAAGAGTTTCACTCCCCACTGAGTATTTCTTTTTGTTGAAATGGATTGTCTGGAGTCCTCAAACTGTTTCAGATCTTCCTCAGTCATTGACTTGAATCTCTTAGAAGGGGGTGGGGGGGGGGGGGTGGGCATACCAGGGCTAGGAAGTCCCTCCATATCAGACATCTTCAGCTCCTTCTCGACCTCTTCAGTCTCTTCAACGCTTGCTGGGGCCATAAAAGGGAGATCCAATGCGGCCAGGATATCATTATCAAAGAGAAGGTACAGCAACGGGTCGTCATCACAGAGATCAAAATTTCCAAACTCAGCCATGATAGTTATGTTTTGGTAGGGGGGTTGAAAGCAGACGTATATTATGATAAATGAATAAAAAAAGTTTTTTGTAATAAAAAAAGTTTGTTTTTGAACAGATTTTATTTTGTTTACGAAAATGATTTTTTTTTTTCATCCGACATTGTGTGAACAACACCTTTTATTTGATTTCAGCCGGTTTTGTTTACGTTCGTAGTAAAAGTAGTGACCTAGTTCCCAGGAGGTCAATGTATTCATGCGCACTAATTAGCATGTGACCTCTTGAACCCAAACTTGTTTTTATAGAGATGTAAAAACGCCTTGTTCAAATAGTGTTATATAGGGGGAAACATTTGCAAGTGTAAATATATTACCTTAGCACCAGTCCATGTGACTTGTGACGGTTGATGCAGGTAGCAGTGATTGTAATACACTAACCAGTGTGACCCACAACCTATTCATATCATAACGGTCTCAAAGAAAGTAATTACAATGCAATGTTATGTCGCCACATTAATCATCTCTTTCAGGTGAATAATGGATTTACATATATACATGTAATTAGGTTCTTTTAGAGTTTACAATCTAATCATAAGCACTTATATCGCATATATCTAAAATATATATGGACCTGTACAAAGTATGTCGTATTATATGTATGTCTATTACTTTGCACAGAAATGCAACACTTTTTTTAAATAAAGAAAACAAATATTTTTTTTTAAAGTGAATAAAAAAAAATTCCATTAAAAAAGATTATGAAAATGATGCTAAGAATTGTATGTATGGGTATGTATTCCTTAAGAGTCACTTCTAAAATGTAAAAAATCAGGTTCTTATAATGAGTACTTTACCTTTTTCTGTTTGATAGTATGTCCATCCCTCAATTTTGTTCCCTGACAAGAGGTTATATGGAGACTGCATGTGTAGGTAGCAGAGTTTGTCTCTCTCGTTGTATCCAAATCTCGTGCATCTGTTGAGACACATTGCACCACATGTGATCCGAGAAAATGGAAATACCTGAGAAATGCTATGATTAACTTTGTTGTCTGTCTCTGGTAGGACTACATAGAATTGCGAGAATGAAGCTTCCGTCTCCAAGCAAAGACACAGAATGATAACCATTCCTACTGAGTACATCTGCATGTTATCATAATTAAAAATAATTGAATAAAATTAATATAACAACAATATGAATTTTTTTTTTAGAAACTATAATTTTAAAAGTAATCACAGGTTTCCAAATTGCTAGCAATTTGACGTGTCAATTTTTTCTGTTCACTATTTAAAAGTTTTACTTTCACACATAGATCTTATAAAGTACTAAATTATAATTTATAATAATGCTATATATTAATTTAGAGCTCAAATCAAAGTGAGGAGAAAGAATACAGGACAAGAATTTACTTGTGAAATGTCCAAGGATCTTGAAAAATTTTTGAATGATCCCAATGGAGGTACAGTGTAATATTTTTCATTACAGCATAATTGTATTACTAAAACTCATTGTTTCATAAATATTTAATAAATTATGCCAATTGACGTAAGTCTTAGGTTTTAACGGAAATAAACTTGTGCAATCATTTCTTTTCTCCCTTCATGCTTGTCTTATTTATCATTTGGTAAAAAATATTTAAAGAAGTACTCCTGGTATCTGTAGCTTTCACATTGTATTTATATTTAATGTTCATATTATTCAGATCCACAGACTAAGGAATCTATTTTCAAACTCATTTTTGACACTCAGTCTGAGTCGCCTTCAGAATCACTGGCCACAACTGCCACAACTGCACAGAACCTTCAATCACCTGCCATGCAAATGCAACAACCTGAGTCAGATCCTGAATCACCTACTGCAAATGCACAAGTACCATCTGTCATTTCATTGCCACAGACAGTTCCTATGGAAGATGGTGATCAAAAGGTACATTTTGGCCTTAATTATAACTTGGATGACGGAGACAAAATTCTGAACTGTTATGCCCCCAAACTCTTACAGATATATTATTCTGAATCATCTGAATCAGGGTCTTTTCCACCGTCATGCTTGGCTTCAACAAGATGTTTTACGTCATCTTTATTCACTCCATCTTCTCCTTGTCTATGTACAGGAAATAACTTGATTCAAGTGGGCCCTAAAACATTTCTCACCCCAGAGGAGTTTCAATCAAATATTAATTTGAAATTAAAAGACTACAAAAGCTATGGAAAGAAGAACAAGAGAAACAATAGGAAGAATCTAAATGTTGTAAGCTCTTATATATATATATATATATATATATATATATATATATATATATATATATATATATATATATATATATATATAATATTATATATATATTAATAAGCTGTGTATTTTCTTCAATCAATTAACTATTACATCTTTACATTGACTTGCAATAGTGTATAGTCTACATAGCCGATTCATTACATGTACCACTGTTTATATGAAATGCTCTTTTTAATAGCATAACTGATATTACATTTATAGGATAAATTTAATTCACAAAGAACTCTTTTCAGGTTCACATATGGGACGAAACTGAAGAAAGACAACTGATTTCCCAAAGAATAAATATGGATGAAGCCTTCCAAAAAAATAAAAACCATGACACATTATGGCAAAAATTTTTTGAAAACATGAATGCTGAAGGAATTAAGGTTTCTAAGCTACAAATACATAATAAATTTAGAAATATGAAAAGAAAATACAAAGAAACTATCGACTTAAATAAGCAAACTGGAAACGAGAAGCACGAATTTAAATACCAAAGAGAATTTGATAACTTGTTCGGCCACAAGGCATCCACAAAAGCAACAGTGTCATTTGACAGTGGTGTACCGGTAAATGCAGCAGAAAAAAAGAAAGAGAATGAAAAAAAAAAGTCAACCTAAAAAGCTCTCTGCTGAAAGCATGATTATGAAAATGGAAAGTATGCATAAAGACATGAGGGAACAGATGCAAAGGCACCAAGAAGAAAAGGTGCGAAGGTTTGACAGACTAATCGATATTTTTGAGAGATCTGTTGATCAAAACTGAACTGTATAGTGTCCTAAAATTGCCTACATGTTTGGCTCAATCGAATTGAAAGTTTTGATTGCCTGCCTTCTTTTTTTGTATTTTTACAAGTAGTAAAGGATAAACTTTTATCTGTTAAAGATAAACAACCTTTGTTAGTTTGAACTTTCTGTTGATACATATGTACCGGTATGTGATTTACCAAAAATATGACGATCATATGTTTTTTTTGTTTGTAAATCAGAAAGAGCGAAATGGTTTATTTGTTTATTTTTTGTTATTTTTGTTGCTCATATTTTAATTTTGTTATGTTTGTTGTTCTGAAGAAAGATATTCAATGAAAAACACAATTTAATTATCTAGCCTTTTTATTCTGTACTAAAACAATGGTGGTTTTCATAATCAGATAATTTTTTGCAACTTCAAGCAAAAATTCAAGGTAGTCCACGAACAAGCAGATCCCTCCTCTGCACTCCGTCTCTTCCATCAGGGTACACATTCGGATAATTATTAGGGTGTCCATTGCCATTGTTATGATCATTTGTTAAGAAATCTTCCACACTATCCTGATGCAAGATACAAAGATTGTGCAGTATGCAGCCAGACACAATTGTCCTGACAATGTCATCTGAATCGTGTATTGTTATTTCCTGCAGTCGCCGAAACCGTTGTTTTAGATGACCAATAGCCCTCTCTCCTACTTGTCGAGCAGATGACAAAACTCGATTAAACCTCCTCTGACTTATATTTAAGCGACCATTGCCTTTAAATGGAGTGATTAACCAGGCTTTTAACGGATATGCACTGTCTGCTATTATATACTTGTTCACGTCAAAGTACTGTCCAGCTGTAGCATTGGTAAAAAGACTTGAATTTCGTAGTACGCGAGCATCGTGAGTTGATCCTGGCCAACCTGTGTATATGTCCCTCAATATTAAATCATTAAATCAGCGTCTATTACTACCTGTAATTAAAAAAAATTATATATTTTTAGTATGTGTTATTTATTAACAAAGTAGTAAATTACACAATATCATCTATCATCACCTGGAGTTGTATCGAGGGGTAATGTTTCCTGTTAATATAGTCACTATCTCCACCAATACAAGAAGATAATCTGATGTGCGTCCCATCCAGAGCACCAATTATGTCTGGAAGCCCAGATTGAAGCTGAAAGTGCTGTGCAATCCTCTGTTGCTCAATAAAATTAGGCCATTGGATAAGCTTAAAAAAATGATTTTTGAGGAGAGTTATATACATGTAGAGATGTAGGTGTGTGATCTTGGCTTAAGAAGGCAAAAAAGGCTTATTTGGGGAGAGCACATGGCTCAAGACTTCTGGGTCAAAATCAAATTTTTTCATATGTACACATGGCCTTGTGCTTCAGAAATCACAAGTATAAAATGACCTGCTAAGGGTGATCTATCGCAATGATGTCAAGACATTGAAAGAGGGAATGTGTTTATCAAACTCAAAGGTAGATCAGAGCACAGAATTGTTTTGAACTAAGCTTTGGTCCCTCTCACTTGAATACATGCATCTACATTCCCATTACATGCATTAAACACAGGAACCTAAGATTTTTCCAATTATTTGCTAAAAGCCCCAGATCAAAAGATTCAAACTCCTTCTGCACCTAATATTTTAGCAATAAGCAATAAGTTAATCCGCTAAATAAAAAATGCAACATCTATGTATATGCCTTATTGGTGGAGGTGGGGAAACTTACTGAAAAAATTCAGGTGCCTATCTTTTATAATACTTATGATAAGTTTTCATTGAATGCGCTGTTGACCCTTTTCAACACACCATGCACTGTGGATTGTCCTATGTCAAAGTAATGTCCAATTTCTCGCATTGTCACTTTATTTGACATATAACACATGAATACAAGTAGTGCTTAGATGGAGGAATTCCTTCAATGCCCCCACCGTGGTTTGATGTGAGGTAGGCACCGATATTGTTAAGTATTTCCTCGAACATTTCTTTACTTATACGA